CATCTCCAATCTGAGAATTGCCCTTTTATGTCTACCCTCAGTTTCCAATCTTTCAACCAACATCTCATTCATGCTGCCAAGCAGCCATCGACGTCAAATAAATTTCGAATTTTCTCACTAACTTGCCATGTGACACTTTATCAAATGCTTTTTGACAGTCCAAAACTACAAGGTGCATAGTACTACCCCTATTCCACGCCTGTGTCACCTCATCAAAGAACTTAATCAAGTTTATCAGATACGGATGGTGCTTGACAAAGCCAAAAACAAGGACGGAGATTGCGATAAAACTTTTCGAGTCTGGTGGCATCTGGAGAGACAAAGAAGAGTTAATGCTTTGGGTCCAGTGATTCTTCTTCAGAACTGATTGTAGGTAGGAAATGGTTTGCATACATGCTGAAAATTAGGTGGGGCTAGGGTGAACGAATAAATCATGTATAGATAGATCTCAGAGAGATGCAACAACAGTTGGACAGAGAAAGGAATCGATAAAAGGCAGCCTGTGAGTATCAGTAGTTGCTAACGGGGACTACTAGCAGTTGATGAAGGGTTGGTTGTGCTAGCCGCCTATGTGATGACAATGTTTACTGTGTGGCAGTTGGGATAAGGACATAGTAGAAGGTGCTCAGACACAAAAGTGATTGGACTCAATATTGATTCCTGAAGGCTGCAGGGTCCTCAAGAGGAAAAACATACTCTTCTTCCAGCTTGTGCTGAGCTTCACTGGAGTGCTACAGCAAACCTGAGACATAGATGGTGGTAGGGAGTATGGTGATGTGTTGAACTGACAGGAAACAGAAAGCTCAGAGCCGTTTTTGTGAACAGAACATAAGTGTTTTGCAACGCGGTCATTAATCTTTGTTTTGCCTCCTCTGCGTTGCGACAGACCACGTTGTGTGCAGGAAATACATGAGGCTAGATTGCCTGGAGTGATGCTTCACCTGGAGGATGTGTCTGGGTTCCTGAAAAGTGAGGAGGCATGACATAAAGGGGCAGGTGTTACATTTTCTGAGATGGCATAGGAAGGCACCCTGGGTGTGCGAAAATGGATTGGGAAAGGAGGAGGAGTGAGCCAAGATTTCCCGAAGAGTATGGTCCCTGGGGAAGGCTGAAAAGAGATGGGAGGATGTGTCTGGTGATGGTTTCATCTGGAGCTGGCAGAAATTCAGGCTAATAAGGGTGATGGTGAATGGAGATGATTGAGGCTTTTTTCTTCACGGAGGAGCAGAGAGCCATGAGACCACCCTGTACAATGTAAAGAGGATGCACATACATGATAAAGAGGAGGCAGCCACCACCGACATGAGCAGAAAAAGAAAATGAACAAGTTATTACCTGTTGGAAATTCAAATTATTTTTACATTGAACAAATGCGACTCTTTTATTTACTGTAGGCTTAGTTAAACATTTGATCGCTGATATCCTGTTTCTTTAAACTTGTGTTCCAGATCTGAGCGCTGGAGAGTCTGTTACTCAGCAGCAGCCCTCACTCAGAAAGAAGATGCTACTTTAAACTGCACCAACACAGGCGATACTTATTCCTTCTCCTGGTGCCTTCATTGCCCAGGCAGACACCCTGAGTTCGCATTCCAGAGGTACACAATTGGATGCGATCCATTTAAAGCAAAATTCGCTCGAGTTTGGTTTTCTGATACCATAAGCAATCAATCAATTGATATTCTCGAATCTGCTACTGTCTGACACCGAGATCTATTATTGTGCAGTGAGCTTGACAGTGATAAGGACGACCAAAAGCCTCCTACAATAACTGTCGCACGTTTCTGGGTCACAGCTGCAGGCTGTTCAAAGTTGTTAACAACACAGGCACCGGCACTTCAGTGCATACTGATATGCAAAGACCAGGAACACACTACACATAAACATAGACGAAATTGATCACGTCGAACATTGGTTCTAATTATTGCATTCACTTCAGGAAAACAGTGTTAACTGCCATTTACCTGGAGAGCTATGGAAAGCACCCTTTCAGATAGAAAGTAAAATCCTGCAGGTGATATGGAACTCATGGCGTCCGTGCACCGTTTTTGAAAGATTTATTGGCAGAAGAGTAAATAATTTTACCTTGATCCGTCAAGCTATTGAGTCGAGTTAATATATTCATAAGGAGAAATATTAATTGAAATGTGGCATTTCATGGAAAAGTGTGGCTAACACTGGTGTAGACTGAAGCATGTCAAGTTAGGAAATTTTTGACAAATATGAAATTCTAATTCAGCAGCTGTCAATATCATAGACGCTTGCACATTATAAAAATTGAAAGAATCCATAATGCATTCAGATTCATAGAGGCTGTTTCCCTTACGGATTAAAGCTGTCGAGCAATGATTAACAAATACATAATCAATGAGAAAAATGCAGTGTTGTCATGACAGATTTTTTGTAAAATAAATTAGTGCAAAAAGCACTTGTTCAACATAAAATAAATACTTCCTGTAACTGTTAGAAGTACTTTGCACAATCTGTACACATCGGATAAACATCTAAAAAAATAAAACGCCATTTATTCCGTTTACCTGTACTACACATTTTGTAATTAGCCTACTGTTGCATTTACCTATTGTGTACATCTTCGTTCAGGGCTCGAACCAATATTTCACGTATTATTTCTTCCACAATATCATTAATTACAAATCGATATAAATAACCTAATCAAATCTGTCCATTATGTGCAGAATATATTCATTGTTGCAATGCTGCACTTATAAGTCTTGGCTTATTAAGTATTTAAATATATTTCAAGTCAAAGCATTTCCAGAAAAAAAAAAGTTTTAAAAGTCCAGATTTCTCTCCAATCTGTCACCTGTACCATAATAACAGTTTTTCAGATGGTGAAACTTCTTCCACTTCTCGATTTGTTGATTGGTGCAGAAAATGTGGACCACAAACCCTCAGCACCGAGAACATCCTAGTAATAAAAGACGTAGATCATGAATATAGGGCTTTAGCCCCTTCGTGAATGTACATTTGAAAGAAACATATACAGCAGTAATTGACAAAGTGAGTTTATGGTTACGATCCTTCTTCAAACTGCATCATGCTAATTTGGTATTATGACTCTGTGCCTGCAAGACTACAGCCCGAAAAATACGGAAGAAATAATGATCAATGTTATTAAAATAAGTGGATATGCTGCAAACAACGAGATCATACTGTTAAAGTGAAGGTTACTTGATCATTATTGCTTGGAAATGAAAATCGTTGCAATTTGTTAGTTTACCCATCAAGAGAGCTAGAGTATGGAGCAAGCAAATCACAATGGCCAATGCAATTTCAAAGGTCATAATTGGTTTGAACTGGGGAGCTGAAGCTGAATTATTTCAGCCTCAGACCTGATTGTAGATTTGACCATACGGAGCAGAAACTATTTTTTGTTACAGTTCAGAGCTAATAATTACTTTGAGGAAACTGAAGCTGAATTATTTTAGTTTCATTGCCGATTGATATATTTCTTTTCGTCCGGAAGTGGTGCCCAATCAATTCTCCTGACAGTAACGTAAGAGAGCTGGTCACAAGATCACAATGAGGAAAAGTTGAACGACTCCAATTGGCACTTCGACCCTGCTCCTCCACTCAATGAGGTGATTCTGATCCAGCTCTCAACCACCTTCGTGTGTTACCTCTCAGCCTCTGATTTCCCCGAAGATCTACAAATCTGTCGACATCAGTCTGAAATAAACTCAGTAGTACAGCAATGTCCCTAATCTGTTTTACGAAATGATAACGAAGCAGGCAATAATTCCAGCTTGACTCTGACATCTAGGCTAATATTTGATTTGGGGAAATCTACAAATAATAATACATGTTGTTGCGATATCGGTGCCCGAATCTGCCATGGGAAAAAGAAAAACTGTCCATGGTAAATAATGAAAATAATTAAACTTGATATAAAGAATGACGCACAATCAACATGACAGAAAGGGGACAATAGGGGAGCGTAAAATACGGTTTCGATATAACCAGCAGCTCACAGATTTGATCCAATCAGAGGAGGCAACAGAATGAGGGAGGATTTTCGTAGGTTTTCCAAACAAGGCCATGAGCCAGCATAAAGAAAATAATAAGTTATTATCTGCTGGAATTTCAATTTATTTTCACGGTGAATGGATGTGACTCTTATTAGTTAAACATTTGGTCGCTGCTATCCTTTTTCTTTAAACTTGTGTCCAGATCTAAGCGATTGAGATTCTGTTACTATCAGCACAAAATTCGTGTGACTGAAACTTGCACGGCCAGCTGTCATCCATTAATCATACGCAACTGAATCTCTTCACTTGGTTAGTATTCTTCAATGTGAGTATTAACTTTCTTATTGATATTGTAAAACAAGTCTACGTTATCCAGGAGCAGTGAATCTATCACCAGCTATACTGGACTTGTTAGCATTTAGATTTGGGTTTTATTGTCAGGTGTACGCCAGTACAGGGTAAGAAAAGTACAGTCAAAAATGTACAATATCGCCACACACGGCAGCATCAAAGGTACAAAATACCTCGGTACAAAGTCATATTTACATGAGTAGAAACTAAAGAAATAGGTTTAAAAAAAAAGTTCATCATAACAGTGTTTTCCCTACAAAAGTAGAAAAATATGAAAATAAGTTGCTCAATTAAACACAATGTGTTTGACGTTATTCAGGTTGCCCTAGTGTTTCATTATTAGAATCACATGACAAATCATTGCCTCTTGAACTGAGTATTCAAATTCTCTGTTTCACTGGAGGATTTTGCTTGACCAAAACTGGTTGCTGCATTTCTACGCCAACTCATCGCTGCCAAAGTGAAATACGTGACTTTGGGACTCCTTGAAAAAAAAAGTATTATTTACTTTCCATTCACTAAACTGACAGTTAGTTCATTTCAATGACATATTTATAACGAAAAAAGCTATATTTTCGAGTAAAATTATTGAATATCTTCATGAATTATGATCTATTTCAGATCTACCCCTGATCTCACTGCTTGCATGACACAGTTACATGTTCAGTTACGTTCTGACACTTTTTCTGCAGAGTTACCCTTGTCCTGAGTCTCTGTGGGTCTCAGAGCGCAGTAATACACTGCGGAGTCTGTCAGTTCTGTTTTCAGCACTTTCAGCTGGATAGTGCGGTTCACATGGTCAAAATCCGAGGAAAGCCGATCTCCTGGAAATCTTTCCGTGTTCCTGATATATTGGCTTCTCTGTACCAGATACTCCATGGATCCGCTGGTTTTCTGACGGTACCAGAACAGGTTAGCATCGTCGCTTGCTGCAGCAGTGTAATTACAAAACAACTGGACATCATCTCCCTCAGTCACTATGATTACAAACGGTGTTTGTGAGACAGAATCGCCTCGACAAAGTCCTGTAAGAGCCAAGAGTAACAGCACATAAAATAAGTCACTTCAGGATTCTTACCGCCCGGAATTAGTCCATTCACTTTGAACAATAACCAGAGAAATAAGTCAGGGAAGCTAAAACACAATCCAATTTCATACAAATCAGTGGCTTTGACCTGGAAGGGCCTCGGCAGAGAGAAGCAAACGTCTGTTAATTTCCAGGCCATACCTTTTGATGAGATAAGTTTTCACTTCATCTTCAAAATCTTGAATGTTGAAATGGTCGCTGGAATTTAAGACTCCTTACTCTGTTGAATCATCTCAGTGGTTTCAGTCCTCTCTGGATTTCAAACCTTATATTTCTGTTGTCACCCACTCGGAGATGTTCGCTTATTTTTGCCAAACTGTGCTCGGTTTTGGGACAAGTTTAGATCTGGAGGATTTTGCTGTCTCTGAGTTGATCGAATTGCTGGAGTAAATGTAATTCCCGACAAAGCACTGAAGCACAAAAAATACACAAGTTGTGAACCTACCGGTAAGAAGAACTGCAGCATTGAGGAATAAGTACAGAGCTTCAGGCAACATGCTTGCAGAGAGATCGCGATGAATGTGAACAGAATTGGGTGAAGCCGCAAATATCTTTGTCAAGAGTTGGGAAGAGGTTGAATAATTTCTGCATCTCTGTTCATTGGTAATTGTTAGAAAAGACGTCAGGTGATAGTCAATGCACTTCAAGGTCTTTTGTTCTTCAATTCAACCAATCAACTTCAAGCTCCTTTGAGCTCCACTTCAAATCATGGCCATGGGTAGAATGGTACAAACTGAATTAATTCGTAGCCAAAGGGTTTTTCAACGGAGAATAAACTAAATTTTCACATTTAACGTTTTATTTTCATTTAGTAATGAAATCCAGAGTAGGTAAACAGTTCATGCTTTTTCCAGTATCAGAACTGTAGTTCCCTCGTTAACAAACTGCTTTCGAACCATGAGGGCCCCGTGTAGCCGCTGCAGAGAGTCAGCTTGTCTGAGGGAATTGATTAAAGTAATGAGGTAAGTACACAATCACATTTTCAATGAATCAAAGAGTAGATATGATTTTTCTTTTGCTGCAATTGCTGGTAAGGTTCATAGCAACAGAATGCGTTTACCTTTACTCTGCATCAGAGTAAATATGACTCCTTTATCTATTCCAGATACACTGTAGCGTCTAAAATACCGTTAACCGTTTTGTTATGAAGGGCTATTAGAGACGAATGCCAGAGGCGCCCATAAACCATAAATGGGTTTTCTAAAGGAATAAACGACTTGGTTGTACAGTCTTCCTCCAATACTGATTGTGAATGGCGAAAGAGTAAAGAGACACGTTATTACTAATCCAAATCCGAACGGAAATAAATGCACTACTGTCACGTTTACAGGCGACACAATACTGTGGGAAGGAAAGTGGTGATAATGACTCAAAAAGACGATAAAAAGAGAAGTATATAGACAGTTTATGTGACTAGGACTACAGGATCATATTATCGGATTACTTGGAACTTTGCATCACTGGAAAATGATAAATATATCAATGGGGTAATATCAAAGTTCATGTTTTAGGAATTGTTTTCGAATCAATTTGACTCTGTAACTATTAATGAAATACGAGCGATGTTAAAGGAAATGACACTATATTTCCTTCATATTTCATTCATTCATAATTTAACCTGATCCTTAACCTTGATGCATCATGCTTGTTATTTTTCACTTCCTTCCTTTTTTAAAAAAAAAGGTCCATTATGGGATGAAGCTACTAGCACAGATTTTATATAGCATTTATACAGCATTTATCGCCCAATCCTAATTGACAGTCAACAGCCAACCACAATGCGATGGGTCTGGAGTCACATGTAGCCCAAACTATGTTTAAGGATGGGAGTTTCGTTCCATAAAGGGTGTTAGTGGACTAGACGTTTCTCCCCCTGACAATCGGTGATAGATTCATGGTTAATTCCAGATTTCTTTTTTAATTTCAAGTACCTTCAAATTTGAACCTGGGTCCCAGAAAATATCTCTCCATTAATAGTCCAACGATAATAACACTAGGCTGTCACCTGCCTCCCTTCTCAATGAATATTGTTACTGCATTTCTCCAGTTCCTTTCTTTTCATCTTTTCTTCTGGCTTGTATGTATACTGTTACTTCCTCTCTGCCCACATTTCGAATTTTCTTCATTTCAGACTACATTCAAATTATGCATTTCCTTATTTTCTGTTGTATTTTGACCTAATTCCCTCAAAACTCGGATTTTATAGCTGTGAATTAATAAGGCTGATACTCAAAATTAGCATCATTCAACTCCAACTTGGTGAAGGTATTTGTACGGATTCTCCAGCTCTTTGTAACACTGTGTCCTCGTGGCACAGAGATAGGTAGCAGTATCAGTAATTCTGGCATTTCTCACAATCAGGGCGCTGAATTTGTAATCTCCATTGATTGAAGCTGTGATTCTCTCATGCTGGTAAACCTCTGTTACGGGCATCACCAGAAGTTGTGGTGACTGATTCTGGAGCTGTCTGTACCAACGCACCATATTAAATGTAATGGTACAGGTGCAGTTCAGAGATAGAATTCCTGCTTTGCTAACAATCATCTGTGGAGGAAGTTGAATTACTTTATCTTTTCCAATCACCGCCATGCGGATCAGAATGAAAAAAGAGTAAGAGGACTCTGTGAATTTTTAACATGATCAGATTCCATAAAATTTGGACTGAAGCAATTGTCCATGAATCTCTGTTTAGAAGAAGGAGATAATGCAATTTTTTGTTCAATTAACATCTAGAGAAATGCCCTCTTCAAGTTCAACTCAGAGCTGCTTTTGTGTTAAAGTTGCGGAAGAAGTTGAGTCTTGGTGTTTGTCTTTCCATGCCAATCGTTTCACACTGACAGCTGCTCACTCTGCTTTAATGCTACTCAGTATCCAGCAGTTAAATTCCATAGTTATCACAGGTTTACACTGCACTCTAGAGTTGTGTATGAGTAATTGCTAGGTAAAATTTCTCACCAAGAATTCATGTCGTCCTCAATGACAAAAGATACGTCAACCTTCCCTATATAAAACAGAGATCCAGTAACAATTTGCGTTTCAGCTTCAACTACATCAGATTATTTTCCTCCCGCATTGTAGCTGAAGCCATATTCCACACTCGGGCCGCTCTCAGTGTAACTGAAGAAATCTCCTACATTAGTCGGAAAATCTCGATTTGTACTTGCAAATCGTGGACTTCTTCAGATTAAGAAGAAAAAAACAACTGAAAGCACTGTAGATGTTGTAAATCTGAAACAAACAACAGAAGAAAATGATAGAAAATCTCAGCAGGTCTGGCAGCTTCTGTGGAGAGAAATCAGAATTGACATTTTGTGTCCAGTGACCGTTCATTAGAGCAGAAAATGTTTCCTCAGATTGATGCAACATGAATATTTATTTCCCTTATGTGAAACATTCCATTAAGAAGAGTGTTATTGACAGCTTTTTCCTTTACATCACATTAACATGGGAATTGGTCTCATTGTTAAAATAATTCTTTCTTTGCCCATCTATTCTTTCTGATTTGCCCTTAGAACATCAAAGGATCTCCTTGCCTTCTGCTGTTGTTGACATGAAACTGCTGCATATTGTGTCATTTTAATATGACAGCTACCTCCAACCATTTCCAATGCTAATTACCACTGATATTTTTGACTTCTTCGTTCCATTTCTTGGTTATTTTAATTTTTGGTCGGTATCTGTTGACAGCAAATGTGCTTTTAATAAAGGCAACTTCCTGATACCAAACTTTTCATCTATTTGACTTTTCCAAGTTTGAACATTTTTTAAAAAAAACGAGCCACGTGTGTTCTAACTTCCAACTACTCCTGGAGAATGTTGAGACTGAATGGAAAACATTTGTTTAACATGTACCTTTACTTTGTCGTGGAGAACCAACTCATACTGGTAGAAATACTTTAGCACACACTTTCTCATACACGCACTGTCTCCCTCTTACACACTCACACACGAACATAGCCTCTCACACTCACACTGTCAAACTCACTCTGAGAAAATCTCACACTCTCTTGCTTTGACATTCATATACATTCTTTCACTCACACTCTCTCGCACTCACATACTGTTTCATACATTCACTGCCATGCTGCTAAGCTTATTCTCAGACACAATGTCACTCAGACAAACACACTCTCATAACTAGCCCACCATCACCCCATCTCTCTGAATCAGATACACTCACATAGCTGAATTCACACTCGTCCAACTCCTACTTATGCACACTCTCACACGCTATCAAGCTGACGTTTTCTGTCTGTCACACACGCAGTCATACACTCTCCAACACATGAGCATACTCTTTCTCTCATTCACAGACTCCAAAAGCATTAAATCACTCACAAACCACTCTCACAAACTGACAGAATCACAGAATTAGGTGCACAAATGTTCCAAACCGCCGCTCTCACTCTGAGGCAGAACGATCCTCATATTTACATTTCCTTACAAACAGAATGTTTCAAAAGATTTGGACCATATGCGCACAGTTTATCTTGAACAAAAATATTTCTAAACTGAAATGAACTGCTTCACAGGGAGCTCGAACAGTTTCAATCTCATTTTGAAATGTCAAAATATGCAGGGTTCGTGTGGAGGATAGGGGAGTTGCATTAACTGAATTACTTAATTTAGAGCCGGGCTTTTTCCTGGAGACAGAAAGACCTCTTTCTGTGACTGCCAGATAGTGATGCTCCGACAGATTATTGCACAGGTGGCATGCTTTCAGTCTACTGCATTCAGGACTTTGAAACAAAAGACTAGAATCTGCAACAAGGGAAGAATTTGCAACGAAAATCAAATATTTGTAATATGGTGACAACTGTTAAACGTGAATCACAAGAATATTGATGTGGCAATATTCAATAAATTAAGAGTAAATGTTGCATAGAACTTCATATGTGGCTGTGTGTATAATATTTGTGCATATCTGACTGCATCTGTTTGTGTCTGTTTGTGTTCAGTTGTGTGTGTCCTAAGTCTCTTTGTGTGTGTCTTTATGTGTGAATCCCAGTCTGCAATGACAGATATAACGCCCTCTATTTCATTTTTTTTTACATATGAACCTGTCTCTTTACGCAGGTGCACGCATCACTGCCTGAGATTTTTTTGGGGGATTGCATGAATCAAGAAGTATGAAAGTCACATTCTCTCCTTTTCACTTCTTTTAAAGTGATATAATGTCACTGACCAATGAAGGCAAACCTACCAATGTATGAAAAATATGATCTTAGTGTAAAATGTGTATGTGTACACAATATTCTCACAGTACTATATCATCTCGTAACTAGGTCCTCAGTCACAAGACCGAATGAAACTTTTTGGTTTGAGGGCCAGTCTTCCTGATCAGATGCTTCCCCGAGGTCCTGTTAACCTGTTTAGCATTAAATAACCACCAAGACTATCGGATTAAAATGGAGGATGGGGCACGGCAGGAAGGAAGATAAAGGCGTGGTGTGACTAGGGTACTGGGTGAGGTTGCTTTTGGGTTGTTCCAGTATCACAACATTACATTCTTTGCACAACACATATTA